CAATTTCTATTTAAATATTTATTTTCTATCAGTTGTCCCTCCAACATTTTGAATTGTTTATCAATAAGGTTTTTCGGTTCATCTTTGTTAGCAAAACTAACGGAAAATAACCTTTTGTTATATAAACTTTGATTTCTCCCTAAAAGTATAGATAGTTTATCAATTAACTCTCCAAAAAATTTTATCACTGGATTCATTTAAAGATATATACATATATATATATTTTGAAAGAAATTTCACTTTACAAATAAGAAAAATCTAGGAAAATATAAGTAATATGAAATTTTAATTAATAAAAAAAGTACAAAAAAATTCGCTGGAGTTTTTTTTTTAAAGTTCAACAATTAAAATCATTAAATACCCAACTTCACTTAAAAATCGATAAATAAATCTTTTATATATATTAATTCATTTTAAAAAAGTAAAAAGTAAACATGCTAATTTAATTTGATTTGAATTGTAAATCAATTTTTTATTCAATTTATAAAATTAGCATATATCTAGCTCTTGTATTCTATCATCTTGTTTCTTTCATGGACAACTTGCTACTATCGACAATGTTGTTGTGGATACCAACTAGATGGCTTCCCGTGTTATGCTCGTTAACTCGAACTAAACATATTTATTTCAATTTGATAAACTCGTATTATATTATTGATCAACAAAAATATGATAAATTAAAGATAAAATTTCATCTAATTTTATAATTTTTAATCAAAATTTTGCATCTATTTTTTGTTTATTTTTTTAAATAATTTTTGTAGTTAAAAAAACATGATTTATTCTTTTTTATGCATTTATTCTTAAAAAAAAATCCATAATAATCTAACTATAAAATTAAAAAATATATATTTTAATTTTTTTTATAAGATTGTATCAAAGAAATAAAGTAATATAAAAACCTGAAAAAAATTAAAAAATAATATTTTTTATTTTTATTTAATACTAATGAGAAGAATATTTTTTTTTTTTTTAAAGTATGTACATTTGATACACACACACAAAAATATTAACTAGGAAGTTCACTTTACAAATAAGAAAAATCTAGGAAAATATAAGTAATATGAATTTTTAATCAATAAAAAAGTATATAAAAAAGATTCATTGGAGTTTTTTTTTTTCAGTTCAACAATTAAAATCATTAAATACCCCGATTTCACTTAAAAATTGATAAATAAATCCTCTCTCTCTCTCTCTCTCTATATGTATATATATTAGTTCATTTTTAAAAAATGTAAAAAGTAAACATGCTAATTTTATTTTATTTGAATTATAAATCAATTTTTTTATTCAATTTATAGAATTAGCATATGTCTAGCTCTTGTATTCTATCATCTTGTTTCCTTCATGGATAGCTTACTACTATCGACAATGTTGTTTTGGATACCAACTATACGAACAAGCTAGTTGGCTTCCCATATTATGTCGCGAGCCGAACTAAATATATTTATTTCAATTTAATAACATATATTATATTATCGGTCAACAAAAACATTTTAAATTGAAGATAAAATTTCATTTAATTTTATAATTTCTAATCAAAATTTTGCTTCTATTTTTTTTTTAATAATTTTTGCGGTTAAAAAACATGATTTATTCCTTTTTATGCATTTATTCTTAAAAAAATCCATAATAATCTTCTTTTTTTTTTGTTCTTGTTTAATACTAATGAGAAGAATATTTCTTTTAAAGGTATGTACATTTGAAACACACAAACGAATAATTTGTATTTGAATTATTAGACAGTTCTTTTAAAATATTATTTTAATTGTTTTATTTAAAAAATAATAGCATTGATTGGTGCTATAAGTGTAGATACATAGTTAATTTTTAATAAAATCAATAACTCTGATATGTATTTTTTTATACATTATAAGTGTATTTATTAGGTTAGAGTGTGCAAGCATAAACTAATTTTTTTTAAAAAAAATTTAAATTGTAAAAAATATATTGAAGTTAGTATGGTGCAATAAAAAAACAACAAATTGATTTTGACAAAATTTGATTATATAAAAAATAAGCAAATAAAAACAACTAAAAAAAAAACTTATTAAAAAATCATACATAAGATAAAATAAATCATATTTATTGACAAATAAAATTACATAAAAAAGAATAAAAAATTAAACTAATGAGAATTTTTATAAACAGGAAAAATTGAAGAGATCAATTTTAAAAAATAAGAGTAATATAATCTGATATATATATTCTAAAATCTAAAAAAATATCATATATATTTCATAACCGTCGACTTGTGTGGAGAAAAAATATTAATTGGTTTTTCATAATTTTCACACCTAATTTAATAAAAAAAAATGATGAAAAAAAGAGAGAATAAAAATAGTATTTTTCGTAATTTTTCCACCTAATTCAATAATAATAATAAAAAAAAACATAAATTGCTAGAATAAAACAAAGAAAAAAAGAGAGGAGGCAGGCCTGCATGCTTGCCTTGGGCCTGCTACAGGTCCAATGCAGTAGGCCAGCTGATGAAATAGTCCATAGATTAAAATTTAATTTGAAAAATTTAAGGACCAAAATGAAAATTTATGTAAACTTCGAATATAAATATTCAAAATCAGTTGAAAAATCACAAAAATGCCATCTTAATTTGAATAATGAATTGTCAGGGGATGAATGGTGAAAATCACATTTAAAAAAATCCATGTGTTTTAGCATCTTTTATAATAATTATACTTTAATAATAATTTGAAATTAGTGAAATTCTCTTTTGAGCCAAATTCCAACAATTCCTCCTGATGAGTGTAATGGATTTTTCTGTTGAAGCTTGCAATTGCAGTTTTACATTTGCTGAGAAGGTGGGTAAAATTGGGCTTAAGCGAGGAGAGTTGCTCCCTCTGGCCCATTTATCTACTAGTCTCACCCCTTCTCTTGATTTTTCCTGGTCATTCAAATTCAATTATATGGGCCATATAATGTGAAATTTCCATCTTGTTTTACAATCAATATTGCTTGCAACATAAACGTTGGATGCACTGCAGCGGGACTGATTATCGGATACTGCCTTGTAGGAATTTTAGTTTCAGAAACTCCAAAGAACTTGAACTTGTGGGGTGCATTTCATATCCAGATGGATTTGGGCAGACCTTGCTGCTGAATTTTTTCTGTCACGGTCCAAGAACGAAAGTATACACTAAAATACTAATCGGTGGAGCAGTGGTCAGCTTTGCTGTGTTCTACTCGTTAAAATACAAGCTTAGTTGGTAGTAAGAGAGGTAAGGGTGTACCATCTGGGGCTTTCTGGAAAATGTTCGATGCTTTATATATTGGCTTTCATATGGTGATTATTCATTATTAATCGATTGCTAAACCTTCTATAGAAGGTCAGCCTTTTATGATACAAGGTGCTTTTACAAAGTCATTCATTGATATTAATTTGGACAGCTATGATATTTAATTTCTCTGCAGCAGAAGTACTGCGCTTCTCAAAGCTTTAATTATGTAGGTTAACCAATCTAAGTAAGTATATCCCTAATTGAAACGGATTTCATCATCCGTAAGTACATATATGAATGACATGATAACATGCATTCAAATCGTGACTCAGTTAGAGGAATGGGTCGCAATATCAGACGCTTTATTGGTGGAAGAATCATCCATCCAAATATTCCTTTCTTATCTGAACTACAAGAACTTTTTTAGGAAGAATCCTCCATCCAAAAATTCCTTTCTTATCTAAACTATAAGAACTTTGTTATAAAGACAAAACTGAGGATGACACACTGCCATCCGAAATCATATGGAAGACAATAACTGTTGGATCTTGACAACAATACAGATATTGAAAAATCTTCTACGTAGCAACCGGTTCTTTTATCGACTTCAATGATTTAAACTGCAAACAAATAACTGTTAGATCTTGAAAAATCTTCTCAAGTTCAATGATTTGAACTGCAAACAAATGACAATACCGGTTTCTTTTTTTTCCAGTTCAAGGATTTGAATCTGCAAATTAATTTTCTGAAACTCCGATTTTTGCAAGAATTTATAGCATTTTATGCTCATAAATGAGTTTAAGTCACCATGAATCAATAGGGCAGGATGCATGCTATATATTACTAGACTCTATTGATGGAAGATTTATATTCACAAGCCAATATTAAAATCTTTCAACCAACCAGATTCAAAGAGCAGACTCTTATTCAGAAAAGAGAGAACCTCAACACGCAAGGTAGTATTCTCCCATAAAAGGAGAGACCAAAGAGAGCAAACCTTTTGTAAGAAGGAGAGAAAAAAAAAAAAAACATAAAAACATAAATCTAGATCCATCTATAAAACAGAAAAGGATATAATTTAAATTATAGATAAGATTTTTATTGAAAGAGATTTTAAAAAATAAAATCCAGATCTGCAAAAATAAAACAAACAAGCTGAAGAAAAAGAGTGTAGAAAAAAAAAAAAAAGGAGAAAAATGAAAAAGAGTTGGGGCTGACCACGGGCTAAAATTACAGCTGACAGCCGCTTGAAAAAACAAGTGGCTTTTGTGTTGCTTTTTTAGAGAGAGATTAGAGCGTTTCTCTCTCTAACTATGACTAGGGTCTAAAATTTTTGGGACTAGAGAAAGACATAAGATCTACTAACTAAGAAGTAGATTCATAAATAAAATTCATAAGAGATCTGCATAATGTTAATACAAATACTCATAAATTTGTATAATCTAATTTCCTTCCTTTTATTGTTGTGAATATATATAACATAGTTAGGAAAAGCAAATCATATTAGTCAGGACAAAGAACAAAAGTTTATATTCTTCTATTATAAATTAATTTTTTAGATATTAAATACATTGAACGAAAACTGGGCTGTCCTATTTTAACGGTATTACCAACCCAACCCGCCATCACAACTGTCTTTCAATAAACTCACCAACTATTTCACCATTATTTCTCTACAACTACCGCATTAACCCGCCATCCGTCTATATCTTCCCTCACCGTCTCTCCCTCTTCAACATCACTAAGCTAAGCTACTCTCCAAAAATGGCCACGTACAATCTCGCTTTAATCCTCGAAAATCCCTTAAACGACGCCGAATTTCTCCTCGTAAAGCAAACCCCACCCCCAAAATACGGCATTGAAGAGTATGATTCATTCGTTGACTCTGATCTCTGGGACTTACCCTCGAAGAAGCTGGACCGTGCAAAAGGAGAATTGGAGCCTGGTAGTATCGTCATTGAAGGCATAGAGAGGATCAATTTGGGCAAATTCGATTTTGATTCGGCTATTAAGAAGGTAATTTGTGAGTAAATTTTGTGTTTTAAATTGTGGGTTTGTTTTGTTTTATTGATTAGTGAATTGGGTATTTTTGGTTTTTGTTTTTGTTTTTGTTTTAATTTTAGGTTTTGGAACAAGTGGGGTTTAAGGCAAATGATGGAGGAGAGTGGAGATTTTTGAAGCATGTGGAGGAAGCTGAGTTCGGCCCGGGATTGCCAGTTAATACAGTGTACATTTCGGGAAAATTGTTGGCTGGGAATCAAAATTTGCCAGGTTTTATTTTACTTGTGTTAATTTTTGATGCTGGGAAAAAAATATTGTTATTGATAAAATAGAGTTAGACTTTGTATACGATTTTTTGATTTTCTTTTTAATTTAGAACATAGTTTCTATGGTGGGTTTACATTGGAACCCAAGTTAGTTTTGTGTTGATTTTGTTGCTAAAGAATTGGGGTTCAAAGTAGTAAAAATTTAATTGATGGACCTAGATATTTGCCTCATAAATATATGACTTCGCTCATTATGTTTTCAGTTATTATTAAGCTACCATTATATATCTGGTGAGATGCATGAAACTAATTTAAATGGCATGTAATTACATACGCAGAGTTGTGCAAGTGGATGTCTATCCAGAGTTGTTTAAGCTTGCTTGTGGATGTGAAACCATGCAGTGATCGTGTGGGAACTCTGGTAGTTCTTGGTCTTATAAATGATTCCGTGCAATCTTCAGAGAAAGTGAATACTGCATTGCATTATCAGGTTTGCTGGATGCATTTCTGGAAGAAACATATTTTTGAATTGTAGTTTCTGATTCATCAGATTGGTTCTAAATGGCCTGTAAAAATAATTTCGTTATGGAAAATGACAGTTGTGGAAATGAAAACTTACTTGACTTAGACACTTGCTAATTTTATCAGTAATCCTCTTCATGTTCAAGTGGTTGTTGTGCTTTCATGGTCCACCTAAACAGTAAAAAAAAAAAAAACTGTTAAATTACTTTTGCAGAACAGGGTAATGTTCTTGAAAATGTAACAAGGAAATGTATACGACTTTCAATTGACAATTTTGCTATAAGAAGCTTATTTATTTTGTTACAAGAAGCTTATTTATAATGTTCTTTCAACTATTTGATTTTGAATGTTCCATATTCTGATAACTGCATATGCATTTGATGTGCAGCTACTGGTTCTTGTCTGATTTTCGAATTTAGTCCCTTTAACTAAAATGAAATCTTGTATTTCTTATTTTAAGTATAACTCTCTCTCTCTCTGTGTTTTTTTTAGATGACATTTATTTTCATTTTCAGGAATATCCACCTGGTGTTATACTCGTTCCTATGAAAAGTAGAACATCGAAGCCTTTCCATACAACAAACTTGGTTATATTTGCACCTGAGAATGTTAAAAATGAAAGTGAAGATTACAATTTTGTAGCCCGCGGAGATGCATTGATTGTGGACCCAGGATGCCAAGCTAATTTTCATGAGGAGGCATGTCAGTTTGTTACTTGGCTACTGGCTCTGATGCATTGTACATATGATTTCTTCCTGAGCCACATTTTATTTCAAAATCATAACAAAAGTAAACTCTTTATGAAATTGGCATGTAACTTGTCTTCAATGCATTCTTCGACAATGGAGACTTCATTTTCTTGACACATTGGCAACTGCAGCAATTGTAGTTAGGATGACAGGCTCGTAGTGGAAACAGGTTGTCATTGTACTAGTATAAAAAATTCATTAGAACCTAACTGGATGGAAAAAAATTATTGTCCGAACCATACACTCAGGAATTCTACATGATTCTCTCTATTGATTTAATGATCCATATGTGTGATGCATCTTGTTTGAATGCCATAGTATTTGTTGTCATACAATATTAGCTCCCGAACTGTTCTTTTAGTTTAGCATATAAAAGACATTCCCTTGTATCAACTCCAATGCTGTTAAAGGATATTCCTTCTTTGAATCCTTTGCAGAACTTTGTTGAAAACCATAGTTTTCACATCACGACATGCAACTGCTAGTTCAGTCAAATTTACTCTAGTAGCCTGAAAACAAAGGTAAAGAATGAAACTAAGAAGGCACATATGGATCTGAATTGTACTCAGATAGCCATTTACCAGTTCATACCATGATTTGGTTCTCATATGGGGACAGGCCTTAGTCATTTTATTTTACCTTTTTTGCTTTGGATGGTGTTTATATTGCCATTCAAATTGCAGACAATGGCTTAAATTTTGTATTCTTGTAAGCTATGACAATTCTTCAAATTAAAAAGTTGATTGGTCTTCTATTTGGCTTGATCAGCTCTTGAAAATTGTTGCTGCTCTGTCGAAAAAGTTGGTCGTCTTTGTTACCCATCACCACGCAGATCATGTTGATGGTAAGATATGCAAAATATGGTTACTTGGTACTTTTGGGATCATAAGATCAGCCTAGTGTTTTTCCGCTCTGCTTCTTGTATACCATGATCATTATGACCTCTCTTCTAAATGCCCGAGACCATAATATACATACTGAATTCTGTTTTTTTCTTGGACTTTAAATTATTCATTTCTGTGGGTCTCTTATTTTAGATTCTTGTGCCACTCTTAATTACACTGTTTCTACTCTGGTTCTGATTTGCTGTTTCATGGTTTGTTTCAGGTCTTTCTGTCATCCAAAAATGCAATCCTAATGCTACTTTATTAGCACATGAGAACACAATGTGCCGCATTAGTAAAGGTTATAATTACTATGGCATAGTGATAATATCATTTTGTTATGCATTGTTTGAATGTATGAAGTCTGTAAAATTTGTTCTCTTTTCTGTGTATTGTAAACTCCAACTTTAAATAGTAAATTGTAATGTCAGGGAATCAACTGTTTCTGGGTATCAATAAACATTATTTTCAATCTCATTTACTTCATGGAAGCTTAGTAGACACCATATATTTTGCAGATGACTGGTCTCTTGGTCACATATCGGTTTCTGGAGGAGAAGACATTTGCATTGGTGGTCAGAGATTGAATGTCATTTTTGCTCCGGTAATTCTTTCTGCACGATTGTTTGTTTGGAATTTATAGTTATGAGATGAAACCCTAGTTTCCTTGAAATTTGTAATGTCTGCAATTTGTGTTCTTCATATTTCATGCATGTTGGTAAAACTGGTTGCTTATTTGCCCACCCCAAGAAAGAAGGCCTCTTTTTTTTTTTTTAATTGTTAGCTTATAGCTGAAATATAGGGTTTTCTTCAATCAGGGACATACAGATGGGCATTTGGCACTGCTTCATGTTGATACTCACTCGTTGATTGTAGGTGACCATTGTGTGGGGTAAGATTCTTAGAAGACTGCCCTTATCATTGAAAATGGATTCTTGATAGAACCAGATTGTCATATTGAGGGCAGTCTCAACCATGTGATATACAAATTAGGAAATGATGCTATGATGGAACTGTGAAAGGCTTATTGTTTCCATGATATGGAATCATATGTTAAAAAAGAAAAAAAATCATAATTGGGTGGGGTCCAAAAGAAAATAGCCTTTAACATTTTTATATTTATTATTGCATTTCTGTGTAATTGCAAAGAAAATAAAGGCTACAGATAAAGTTCATATAATCACGGTGTTTGCATTTTCAGCTTTACGTTAGTGAGTGTTTGCACATTTTTTAAAGCATGGGATGTGATCATTGATTTGTATGATGAATAAAAATAACTTGAAAGTTGTTCATCTTGAAGTTAGGATAGCCAACAAGTTGTTTCAAATCACTAGGAAGTTGTAATTGAGACTTGAAAGGATTTCAATGCATCGAATGAGGTTTTCCCTCTTTAAAATTCCCCCATTATAACTCTCAGGAGTTCCCCCTACCCCACGTCTACATGCATGCACACATAGGAGTGGCATATCAGCCATTCTTGACTTGAGGAGGCTTGGCCCCCTCAAAATTTTCAAAAATTCATTATACTCCCTACAATTTTGTATTTTTTCATATCGATCCTTGTAATATTCTAATTTGACCCCTCCAAAAAATATTGTTTTTTTCTCTTTAAACTTCTATTATATCCAACTTAGGACCCCCAACAATTTTACTCACCCTCTGCCAATGCACACTCCTGCAGAGAAGAACCTAGCTTTTCTATAACTTTTGTTTTTGTTCTTTTATATTATTCTCTAGGATCTGCATTCCTGATGTATTTGCGGGTTTGTTGCAGTCAAGGAAGTGCCCTCCTGGACATTGCTTCTGGTGGAAATATGACTGTAAGTAGATAAGAAGCCACAACAATAATACATTATTAATCTTGTGCTTTAGTAAATGGACTACTAACAGGAATCGAATTTGTTTGTTCCATTAATCTAATCCTGTTGTTTGTATCGTTTTTGTATTAATATATTCTTTTTTATTACAATGGTGTTTGACTAAAGAATATGTGATATAGAATAGCCTTTGAATTTGAAAATCAAGGGTTGTTCTGCAACGAACATGGTGGACTAGTATTTGAAAAGACCCAAGGATTTGTTTTCTTGCGATATTAAGGTTTAAAATAGCTGATCCAGGGCAGGAGTGGGGCTGGGACAGAATTTACAGAAACCTTAAGAGTCTCGCAAAGGCCTTCTACTTGCCTTGCGGAGAAAGGAAACTTTGGTTTGCTGATGTTTTATAAACTAGTGGTTTGCTGCTAACGAGGTTGCTACATCAGTCAAATTGTAATGGAAAACTGGAATGTAAAATAATAAAATGTTTAAATAACTCGCCTCTGTCCAGTTTTTATATACATGCAATTTAATTTAAACATCTCAGTGAAGAGGTTTATTGTTTATGCAGGATTATTTTCAATCGACTTACAGATTTATTGAGCTTGCCCCGCATGTTTTGATCCCAATGCATGGAAGAATTAATTTGTGGCCAAAGAACATGCTTTGCGGATATCTAAAGTATGTAACAAATCACTTTCCTTTCTCTGGCCATAACACGGGATGATCATGCTTTTGGTTAAACTGTTTATGAGATTTGCCTATTGCAGGACCTTAGAATCTTATTTTTATAAGTTCACATTAGGAATTTTTTTTTCTGTACAGTAGCAAGATCTCAGGCTGGACTATTTTGGGCCAAGAAACAATACAATTGCCTAGTTTAGACTGGCTATTTCCCATATGGTGCACACACTCTTCAGTTGTGGTTCACCAAGTTGTATAAATGAACCAGTGTCTTACTACTTAGCCAACTTGATATTGTAGCTCACTAAACAATAATAATTTTGAAGACTTGCATACTACTAATTTGCACTCTTTTTTTTACTTGCAGGAACCGTAGAAGTAGAGAATTATCCATCTTGGCTGCTATAGAAAATGGAGCTAAGACATTAATTGACATAGTTGCGAATGTATATTCGGGGGTTGATCGCAGTCTTTGGGTTCATGCTGCATCAAATGTGAGACTTCATGTGGATCATTTAGCTCAACAAAATAAGCTGCCGAAGGTAATTTCTTCCACCTTTAGATTACAAATTTCATTTCCTTTCAAAGGTATGTATGAAGCAAATGAATGTCTGTGCCTTTTTCCTTTCCCTCCCTCAAAGATGGTTGGTTCTTGTTCTATTCATTTATAGACAAATAGTTCCTATGCTTTCTTTTCATATTCTGTGTTTGTTCTTGCTCATTGAAACTAGTAAGCCAGGGAGTAATACTAATAAAGGACTTTGGCAAATTTAAAATAAAAGAAGTAACTGGTTCTTAGTTAACACTAAAAGGCTTCTTATGTATAGTAGGGGGAAATAGCTGTATGTACACGACTTGTGTGTTTTGGACAGGATATAACCTATGGCTTCTCAGTGTCATGTGGATATCAGAAAAAATGAGGGTGGGGTTGGCTTGATATGTTTATTTCATGGTTTGTGACCTTGGCTATAGCTATATCCACTTAATATTGTTGCAGCAGTCGTGTGTATAATATTCATATATTCATGGAAGTAAAGGGTCAGATTTCGTATGTGAACTCTGTATCTTTGAATTTTCAGGCAGGTTCACTAGCAAACAAATGTTATTAGATTAAGCACACATGATTACCTTGGTGTGTTTTTGTCCTTTGAGCTTCTGATAATCCACATGACACTGGCCATATCTACTCAACTGCTGGAGTTATTTGCCTTTTTTTTTTTTTTTTTTTTTTGTGGGAAGATTACTGGTTTTTGGAATTGTAGCAATTCCTTCTGTCTTGGACAATTTGGATACAGCAACGCTGTGCAGGATAACAATTTGAAATTAGAAAAAATTTTCCTCTTTTGAATCAATTCCAACAATTCCTCAGAGTGTGTGCAGGACTTCTCTGTAGACACTTTCAATTGCAGTTTGGTTGCGTTTGCTGAGAAGGTGGCTAAAATTGAGCCCAAGTGAGGAGAGCTGCTGTGTGTGGCCCATAAACCCCCTAATTCTCTTAGGTCGGACCCCTTCCATAGAATTTTTCCTTGTCTTTCAACTATGTGGACCATATACTATGAAATATCAATATTGTTTTACTATCGGAGAAATAAAAATTTGCTTGCAATGTGGATGGATACTTTGTAATGGGACTGATTAGAGGATACTGCCTTGTAGGAATTTTCAATTCAGAAGTTCCAACGAACTTGTGGGATGCATTTTCTATCCAGATGGATTTGGGCATATCTTGCTGCTGGGTTTCTGTCATGGTCTAAAAACCTAAATATACCTAAAATACTTATTGGTGGAGCAGTGGTTAGCTTTGCAGCGTTCTACTCGTTTAAGTACCAGCTTAATTTAAAATAAGGGACAGTTAAAGGTGTACAATTTGGGTCTTTCTGGCAAATGTTCAATGCATCGTGGTTTCCATATGGTGATTGTTTATTGTATAATTTGGGGCTTGGTGGAAAATGTTAAAGTGCATGGAGGCTAACCTTCTAAAGGCAGGCCGTTTTTTATAATACTAGGTGCTTATACAAAGTCACTCGTTGATATTTATATGGATAGCTTTGGTGTTTAATTTCTCTGCAACGTACTTGGCTTCTCTAAGCCATCATTGTGCAGGTTATCCAATCTGAAGACCTAATTGAGAAGGATTTCATCATCCATAAACACACATTATGAATAGCATGCACCACATATCATGCAATCTATTTATATTAATGGACGTACATCCCTCTTTATACAAATAAATCAAAAATGAAATGTAAAAAAAATTTAGTGAAGGTTTTTTTAATGTCATCTTGATAAGTGGATAATCTGTCTTAGTGTTGCCACAGCCATGGACATTCAGATTGTATTCAAGTGCTACCATGTTTCTACTTGCGATGAATTATGTTGAAGTGTTTCATTGTGGCATGTTGTATGAAATGAAACTCTCTCCTATCACCATCGACCTACCTCCTTCACAGAGTGTTTTGGTACATCTCAGAAACTCCCAACTTACGATCCTTTTCTCCTCCAAATACCCGCACCCTTTTCCCGTAGACACTCCACTAAGATAATACACCAAATAGAACATGGCATGATTGTTGAACCAACTCTCTTAGATATGTCTATTGATCTAATATCTTTTGATGATCGATGATTATGAAACATCTTGCTATTTTATATATGAGTTAATTGTGTTGAACTGTCATTCCAGGATTTGGACTTGAATAGCACTTTTGGACGCTTCAAACTATGATCACTTAATCTTGAAAGTGCTGGTTTGAAGAGCGCTCTCTTCCCGGATAATAATTTATGGAATTCATTTGGAAATTCATAAATGTATTCGATTCAAGATTCTACATATTGTATTAATAAAGTTCCTTAAGAGAACATGGAAACACAGGTATACACAAGAAATTTGTCTCGTTGTTTATCCAGAAGTATATTTTTAAAATCTTTGCTTTGTTCTCTAGTTTTTGCCCCTTTTCTAATCTTCCTTGTTTTTTTCTTAGTTTTGCACTTAGGTCATGTACTAAGCTTTTTTTCCCTCTTATATGGCCATTATGCTTTTGATGGCGACCTAATTCCTTAGATCATATCAAAAGAAATTGAGAACCCATGAGACAATTGCAGAGATGGACTATCTACACTAATTAGTGAGAGTGGTGAAATAGTAACCAGAAGGAAGTCTTAAATGAACTTTGGAAACCTAGATTGCGAGGTTAATAATTTGTCTAATTTCAGAAGGAACTGGCTACAAAAGTTTCGGCCATTTATTCCTCAGGAACCCCACTAATTAGTTTTGCTTAATTCCAGTACAAGAAAATTCCAAGCTTTTGTTAAGAGAATTATGAGTTAGATTCCAAAGTTCACATTGGACAAACCTGTAGCATGGTAAATGCTTCAGCCTTCATTGTTTCAGTATCTAACACAAGATATTCATGATCTCTCCCTGCTTTATTCACGTATGTGAGCATTTGATTGATCCAGAGCCGCAGCATCCGTACCTTTCCATCAGTAACACCCCACAGCCAATAGCAGTAAACTAATCCCAACTTTTCATTCATTTCTCAGAAAATCAAGTATAACTTGCAGTTCACGCTTCTAATCCTCCCGGTTCTGGCATTTCCCATGTGCTCTAGCTACAGTTACCTTGCTCCTTTATAAACGTCTTAGGCCCTACCAAATTCTCCTATCCTGCTGTCTTGGTTTAAAGCTTTAAAAAACTTGCTAATTGAATCAATGAAGATCAAACCATTTTCTAGGTGATAACAAGTTTTAAGCTAAAGAATTGTCAGGGAGACGGACAGAGAGGGAGGAAGGGAAATGAAGCAGTGTAAGATCACTGTGTTTGTAAAAGACCTGTCCATACGTTTAAGAAAAGAAGTTAGGGCAGGTAGTCTTCATGTTACAACCACTGTAGTCATATGTTTGTCAATGGTGTCATTTGTTGTGATTCTTACAGTGTTCATAAATAATAATGTCAAGAAATATTTGGTATCTGAAGATCATTCTTACTTCCCTCAGTTGGCTGCTTTTACCCCTCTATCATCTTGGTCTCCATATCCATATTTTCCTTGCAACTCTTCTTTATCTCCTCCTTCCTTGCAACAATTGCAATTTCCGATCACAAGCTTGAGGGACTGGCTAGCTCCGAAGGAACTACGGCATTCGATGAATGACAAGGAGCTATTATGGCGAGCCTCGATGGTGCCACATATCGATGAATACCCTTACAATCATACACCAAAGGTAGCATTCATGTTCTTGACCAGAGGGAGACTGCCTTTAGCACCTCTTTGGGAAATGTTCTTCAAGGGACATGAAGGTCTCTACTCAATCTACCTCCACAAGTCACTGGAAATCACTGATGAAGCCCCAGAATCATCGGCCTTCTACAAGCGTTGGATTCCAAGCAAGGTTACACCTTAAATTCTTGTTTTCAGTTCCAATATGTATTGATAGGCAAAACTTGGCGTACCAATGGAATGTAGAAGATATGATAGGCTTTAATTTTTTTGTTCAGTCACCTAAAGTGTTTTTTTGCAGCCGGCTGAATGGGGAAGAGCAACTATGATAGATGCTGAGAGACGTTTATTGGCCAATGCTCTACTTGATTTCTCCAATGAAAGATTCGTACTGCTCTCCGAGACTTGTATTCCAGTATTCAATTTCTCCACAATCTACAACTACCTTATGAACTCAAACCAAAGCTTCCTAGGTTCATTTGACGATCCAAGACACATGGGGCGTGGTCGATACAACAAGAGAATGTGGCCGACCGTGACATTATCTGATTGGCGTAAAGGTTCTCAGTGGTTTGAAGTTCTCCGTAAGCTTGCGATAGAGATGGTATCTGATGTGAAATACTATCCTGTTTTCAGAGATCATTGCAGGCCTCCATGTTACATGGATGAGCATTACTTCCCAACTCTCGTTACCAAAATCTTCCCTGAGCTGAACTCAAATAGAAGCATTACTTGGGTTGATTGGTCTAGAGGTGGATCTCACCCTACAAGATTTGTGAGAAAGGATGTCTCTGAAGCATTCTTGAATCAGATCAGGAATGGGTTTAATTGTACATATAATGGTAGCATCACCACAGTCTGCTTCCTTTTTGCAAGGAAGTTTCATCCAAGCACACTAGACCCTTTGCTAAGGATAGCTCCAGGATTGCTTGGTTTTCACTCTTAGAAACTCTTGTTGTTTCGTTATTTTAAGAGTACAACAATCTGATAAAGCTGCAAAACTAGTGAGAAGATTTTAATTTTCAACAGAATGACGAATAAAATGACTGCTAATTGACAAGGATATCACAGTTGCATAAATATTAGATTTTGGATTCTCTTATGTTTGGAAATAAAATAAAATAAAATAACTTTTAAATCTCACTATATATTATTATTCTAGATTAAGTTGCGTTGATTATGAAATATATGTTTCTAGATTAAATCTTTTATATATACAATTACAATCTTCATCTTTTATATTCGTTTTATTTGTATAAATTATATTTTAGAGTTTTACTTAAGAATTAGATATTCTTTTAATATAATACGAGAATTTTGCTAATCTAATGGTTAATAGTTCTAATATTAGAAAAATATATTAAAAAATAATATAAATTATATTTTTTAAAAAATAAATTTAATAGCTTAAATTTTTAGATAAATGGTTTTTGCCTTTTCTTGTACGAGGACTGAAAATATTGGACGATTAGTAGACCCTCATGTTCCCAGGACAATGAGCGAGCCGTCATTTGTATTTTTTGAAGCAAAAATGCCGTTTTGGATTTCGAGTTTCCGAAGGCTGCTTCAGCTACGCATTCTGAATGACATTGTCAGCAGACCGTTTCTCAACTCACAAGTTACTCGTCGTTTCTTTCAGTTAAAACTTTTGGGCTACTTGAAATGACTACCATGGACCGTGGTTGTGGATGTTCAAGTGAATATATTATAGCCCATCTCAAATCGAAAGATCCATTTAAAGAATTTAACAAAATCTTCCTTGCTGCCAATCTCTTATGCGATCAAAAATTTACAAATGCTTTAGAAATCAAAATCATTAATGTATAATGTTTTTTTAAAAAAATCATTAATCCTATATATATAAGCACGAACTTGACTAATTTCATTATTAACTAAGAGTAATAAAAAATATAGCCACAAATCAAATCTCTTCCAGTTAATGTTTCTCTTTTTTAAATCCCTCATGCCTTTTAGCCATTTATTAAAAAAAAAAAAAAATCTCATAGCCCATTAATACATCACTTGCCGTTTATCTTTATATTATTTCTTTATTCAACTAGCTAATTATCTAATCTTTTGAAAAGAAAAACTTTGGAAGACTGTACTTTTACTTTGCAAATTCTTCTCTTTCTTTTTTTTCTATTATAAATTGTCTTCACTTTACTTTAATTACAAGAAAAATGCTAACGAGTATCCTTAGTTAATCTAATAAATATTATGTGAGTGCATTTATTAAACTTCATTTATTATTGACTTGTGTTAAAAAAAATAATTAAATATTCAAGTAAAAGTAAATGATATTTATTAAAAACATTAATTAAACAAGTGATATTTTATAGGAGTGTTCATGTTGTGTGGTACCCCCAAACCATTACCTAAGAACCTAAACCTAAAAATCATATATAGTTGACATTTTTACAAACTTGACAACCAAAAAATCTATAAGCTCATCAATATATATAAGTCTAGAGTTAGAACATGATAACAATATTAATGTATTTTTAAAATATAGATTTTGAAATTTGGTATCTTCAGATAATAAGTTAAGTTTTTGTAGTCTCTTAAATATTAAAAGTTCACATCCCATCAACATCACAAATTCTATTTTTCAAATTCATAATTAGTTTATTGAATTTGAATTCATTGTAATTTGTTTTTATATAATTAATGGAATAACAAATATTGACTGTATGGCTAATCCCTTAACAGATAATTACTATCTCTTTAAGACATTACATGTATTGAATTATCAATTCTATTTAATATTCATTGGCTTAATCTTTATACATAGTTATCATATTTTAAAAGTAATATACAAAAATATGATTATGTCATCAAATATCACCATTACTTATTGTGAACAATTTATTTTTGCATTTAGTTAATAATAAATGTGATTTAAAATAATAGATTCTTGGTATCAAATATTGTTATTCCTCATTGAGTAATTAGTAAATTCTTATTAACTATCCATTAATTCAAAATCTCTTTAATATTTAGTTACTACATCATTAATGAATGATAATAAGATAGCTTAATAAAATTGAATCACCCTTACTTATAAATGGTCATTTTATCTTTGGTTATTCATGTGAAAACACCGTGCGTAATTTGATTATCTATTGCCATGCATATTATCGAATATCTTCAATTACTTGGTGCGCAGAACCTGGCCGTCTGAAGACCAAGGATGATCTTACCCTTTAAAACCTAAAAGGAAAATAATAATTACTTGATATTCTATAAAATTATCGCTTAATCTTGTAAGTAGTTATGGTAATATAGTTACTAACTATAACAATTTTTCTGATGTGATATAAGCTAATTCAATGATTGTATGATAAGAGAAATTTTTAAACTTTCATTTTATAAGATAAGAGAAATGAAAAAAAGAAAAGAAAAGAGATCCACTATAAGAAAATAGACAATTGGCGATGAAATTTAGCAATGGATTTATTTCCATCACCATTTACCTACTTAATAATGACTAAATAGCGATGAAATTGAAAATAAATCATTTAACAACGGATCAACGACGGTTTTGAGATGGACAATTAATGACGAAATGTTTTTCGTTGCTATCGAGCGCAATATGATAGACTAGCGAGAAAATTTAGCAACAAAAAACAAATTCCATCACTATACGCAGCGTTGGCCCAAGCGACGAAGATTATTCGTCGCTATCTATCGATAATTAGCAACGAACAGTATTCCATCGGTAATGATGCAAATTTATAAAAATTTGTAAATAAAATTGGCAATCGTAGAAAATTCAAAATAGGGACTGAACAGATTGTATCCGCCCCTAATTAATGATGGAATAGAGACGTTAAAATTTCCATCACAAATTTAAGCAAACTTCTCAATCCTTCTATACAATTTGAGAGGATGTTTGAAATTCAAATTAGCGATGGATACTTATTTTCGTCGCTAGTTAGTGACGAAAACATGTTCGTGGCTAATCCTAAACCCTTTTAACTTTCGGACTCTTTCTCTTCTCCCCTATTTCCCCCTTTTTCCTCTCCTCCATTCCATTGTTGCTCACCCCCAATAGCCCCTAACCACTACCCCATGCCACCCAACTCCCTCCCCGACCCACCTAGTCCCACAAGGCATAACTTTCTCCTCGAAATTCGTCAATAGTCTCTCCTCTCCCTCGTCTCCTCTCGTAATTTGTTCTCTCTCTCTAGATCTTTTATTTTTGTTTAATTAGATTAATGTGGTTAGTTATTAGGTTAATTTTGTTAATTGTTAGTTATTTTTTTATTAATTAATAGGTTAAATTTTTGTTAATTAATTGTTAATTTGTTAAGTTGTTATTTTTTTATTGTTTTTTGTTAATTGTTAGGTTAATATTAATTGTTAATTTGTTTGTTTTTATTTTAAAATATAATTAACACTTCAATTAGGATTAATACTGTAATTAGTTAGGATTAATATAATTAAGTTAATTTGATTTAGGATTAATTTAATTGTGATTATTTGAATTGATTGATTGATTGATTTTTAAGATTAATTATAGTCCAATTGGTTAATTAATTGAAATATAATATTTAATTGGGTTTGAATTAGGGTTAATTTAAATATGGTTATTTTTATTAATTAGGTTTCGATAGTTAAAATTTAGTAAACATTTGAATTAGAAATGATTTTATTACGTTTAGTTGAATTTATTATTAAATTAATTAGATAAATTTTGGTTATAATATTGTAATTATTTTAATTAATATCAATATTTTAAATTTAGTAAACATTTGAATTAGAAATAATTTTATTACATTTAGTTGAATTTATTACTAAATTAATTAGATAAATTTTGATTATAACATAAGAAGTTGTTGCGATACAATAGTTGGAAGGAATCTTGGAGCCGGAGGTTGACAAAAACGTCATATACCTCGAGGTCAGTAAAGGAGAAAAAGCAGAGGGTATATGGTGCAGAAACATAAATGTCGCATTATCTATCCTGGTCAAACGATGCTAGCTCGTCATCCGTGTCATCACATTATATCTATGATATTTCTAATGAGGAGGTTTGAAAGCAAGTACAGGAGGTGAAGCGACGATATAAGGGATGCGGACGAAACAAGACGAACTGCAAAACATTATCACGCAACAACAAAGTTTCATACAAGGGTCGCAGCCTCAATATGACTTACTTGCCTCGATATTGACTAGGATGATGCAAAAGTTCGGGTTGCTTATAGATTTGTCCACCAATCGGGACTCCACCGTCCCTCCCATCGAGCCACGGGACGGAGAGAGGGAGTCGGATAATCGAATGAGTGACATTTCATTTTTCTATTTGTTTTTTTTATGTACTAACAAATATTTTTTTTGTTAATATTAACTTAAATTTATTTTTTTAGTAAAAAACAAATTTTAATAATGCTTTTTTTTTCTAATTGTTAATTACTATCAATAATGTCATAAATTTAAAAACTAAAAAAATAAAAACCAAAATTTTCAATTAAAAAAATAAATTCAATAAACTTAGCTAGTGACATGAATAGCAACGAAATAGCAACGAACACATTTAGCGATGGACTTTGAGATGGAATAGCGATGCTAAAATCTTAGGATTGACGACCCATTAGTAACGAAATTTAGCGTTTTAGCGACAATAGTTTTGTCACTAATTAGCAACAGCATATGTTTCTTCAGTCACTAAGGTTAGCGATAAGTGCTTTAGTGACAAAATTTATGCCGTCAGAAATCTATCGCTAAAAGTGTTTAGCGATGGACTTTTCTTACTTAGAGATGGATATTTCTATCGCTAACTACCACTTTCCTTGTTATGAGAATAAATAGTGATATAATTGTCCGTCTTGAAGATTTTATATTTGTTTTGTATTCTAAATATAACTAGTAATTCTTAATTTACACGATATAAACTTATTGTAATAATTTGTATTAATTAAAATTAAAATTAATATAAAAATATTG